TCATGGCGCCGTCACATCTTATCATAATAAACAGCTCGTTTAACATTAATGTCATTTGTGCGGTCGTTAGTATTAGTACGAGTGGACGATGATTAAATTGTTGTAATGTTTTCATATAATGCACCTCTAATTTTTTGGATACATTAATTCTATTAATTGTTTATTTAGCCTCCTTTGAGTTCTTTCACAACAGCAACGGCATGGACGAACATTGGCGCTCGTGTCAATTAATATTTTGTATTCGTATGCAAAAGCATTTTTGTGCTACATTTGAACCTTTACAACCCACACTACAAACCCCCTAAATAATCTACCTTTGCTGTTATAAGAATGTCAAATTTACCCCTGAGACACCATTTCACAACCTTCTCCAATGCTTTCGATCTCTTTGCAGTTAACCCATAGTTCAACTCTAATAACATCCGCCTAAATCAGCTGGCATAAGAAAAAAACAAATTTTACCGATAATGTCACGAAAAGAACCAGTAAAACCAGTGAACGATCTAATTCGATTTTGGAATCAAGCGGCAAATGGATCAAATGACGAACCAAAGAATCCATTGCGACAGCAAACAATGCCGACTGAGAATCCGACTGGTGTAAGGCAGGGACCACTGGCAAGACGATCTACGGCACCATTACAAGCCGAAACGTCTTCGAATGCCAAGTCGTCGCAGACGAAAACTGCCGAAAACTCTCGTTTGACCAGTGGCGCCATAAAGAAATCCGTGATTACGAATCTGAATGACAGCCAAACAACAGGAAATGCTAGTTCAAGTAAAAAGACATCAATTGGCATGACGACTAGCGCGGCATTGACTAATTCCTCTGATTCAGATAACAAACCGGAAATGGAACCACCTGGGACGAGCTTTTCAATAATTAATATACAAACACTATCGACAAAAACTGACAAAGGTCGAATGAATTGGAGTTCGCTCCCACAACCGGCTTCATCAGATCCACTATCATCTTCTTCAACAGGCACTTCGCCAGCAATAGCAGCCCTCGAGAAGATACGAAATTCTACGCAGGAAAATGTTGATTTGTTCACGCGAAGACAATCTGTTCGTGGACCACGACCGCCAACAGATCGAGTCGGTACGTTGATTACGAAATTTAAGAGTGCGACCAACTCGGGTGTTACATCCCCGAAATCACCAGATTCACCGACCGGAGAACAGAGAACGCATGAGCTCGTATCGCCAACCAGTCCCATTTCGATTGGATCGTTTGAAGAGACGGTGACTAGGGCGTTTTCTAGTGATGGTGCCTTTTCTCCTCCGCTCTCTCCTCCTGGTGTTCGGGATTATACTGACAAAAGAGGAAAAACATCGAAATATATTTTCGATAAAGAGTTACCGCCCCCACCTTCACACGCCCATTTTGACTCAAACCGG